ATTCGCATCATCAACGCAAAAAAAAACATCCTGGCAAAAAATCTGTATGAGTACTAATTCCGTTTCTATCTAAAAAGTGCCGGAAAGCCATCGACAAAGACAATAAAGTAATACTTTTAAGGGTGCCACTCACCAACCATCGTAGGCCCACAGTCCATTATAGAAAGCAAACCCTATCATACCAATACTAGTTGTGGTACCAGCGAATGAGTTTTGGAAACTTGCAGTGTATCCTGTGAATCGAAAAAGCCGTCATAATCCATGAAAATGCCAGCAAAGCACATTCCTTATCAATCACTAGTCCTACTTCACGACAGCAGCCATGTTGGCTTTCATTGCACGTTTATATAAAAAACTAAACAACTGTACAATAAACCTGTTGAAATATTCCAATGCGCTGTTGTTTGTGCCACACGGTATTCAGGGGGCCAAACATTTGAAGAAATGACCAATTTTATAGCCATCGACAAGCGCTATACCATTTATTCTTGCATAGAGCGGATTTCGTATGAGTGGGACACCGTTACCGCACGGTTACCGCACAGTTACCGCACCTGGCCTGCAGAATTTTGGTGAACCAATGGGGCACTAGAATTTGGTTACAGTACGATTACGGTCACAATACAGTACCGTCCGTTTCCGACTCGTACGAAATCCGCTCGAGAATGATTAGCAAAAGATATGTCTTTAAATATGACATTGCAACCGATAGATTTTTTGATTTCTTAAATTAATCATAAAAAAATTAAATAAGTTTAAACGAACAACCTCAACCATGTAAAATAGAAAGAATTCGTTCATTTGATAAGTGTTCTTGTGCACATTGATAGAAAACTACACAATTGTATGATAAACATGCTGATTTATCCAAATTTGCTGTTGTTGTTGTGTATTGGGTTGGTCAGCCGCTTATATAGACGTGTCTATTTTTGGACCACTAATTATTTACTTCCGTTATAATACACGAGCGGGAAAAATCCGCGGGAAGCCAAAATAAGATAATAACAAACATGGCGAACGATAGTGAAAAAGAAAATTGTCTTCTAGTCTTTCTGAAGTAAGCGACGAGGCTGTTACTAAAGAGACGACAGAAGAAATATCTAAAAATAGACACGTCTTGCATGAAAAAATTGTGACACTCCTTTATAAGGACATGGAAGCTCCTAGTAACAGGGTCCTGCTTCTTCAGGTTGTACTTTCGTCTGTCTCAGCGACGTTATTAGGGAATTGAAGACGACTATTTCTTCTTACCTTGTCCTAGACGCACTATTCCAGTAATTATAAGCATCCCAATAGCCAACAGCTTGGCTACGGTAAAGATGATTTGCATACGAGTTGCCCATCGAACACTGAAGCAATTTACGAATGTGATGATACCTGTGAAGGAAAAAGATCTATGAGAAATGGGAATGAGAAATGGGAATACAAAAATAAAAGAAAGGATGAATTCTTGAAGGGAGAAACTAACACGAAAATAGCACAGCATAGATTGCATACTAAAACCATAAAACATTTTACTAATGCAAATAGTGCTAAATTGCACTGAATTAGATACCATTTCCTTCGCGATTTTTTACTGAGGTAACTGGTAAATAACACTCTGTTCGCAGGGTATGAATTAAAGTGAAGTAAAAAAGGAAATCAAAACAAATAAACAAAACAAAAAACACTAATACACCTTAGTACAATAAATTGAATTGTGTTAATAGTCAATTTGTCTCACGGGGTTAAATAACAGTAAGGTTTTGTTTCACGGTTTATGACCTTTCTCTCTACACTAATCAACACTATATTTATCGGTGTTTAGCATATTTCGTTAATTCTTTTTCGCACHTTAGTCTTGTGCAAAATAAAATGGTTAAAAACTAAATGGTAAATAAAATATACAAAAATAAATRAATAACACTAGTATAACTTCAGTATTCTAATGAAGTTGCATTCGGAATATGAAACAAAAACCTTTTTTTCTGCGTGGTTGTAGTTTCCTTTACTACGCGAATAAAATTAAAACTTCTCGTTCGTACATACCAATCTTACAAGGAATTACTCAAAAAGCTCTTAATAGTTCTATCTCGATGAAACAATCCCTTTCAACATCCGATGACACTCGTCGCTGGATCATTGAACTTATAATCACAACAATAATACGAGGACTCCGTAGAATATAAATATTGCAAAAAAAATGCATACCTATGCAAAAGGCGGCAAGCAATTTAACAAGTATTTTTAAATCCATTCGTGCGGGATCAACGCTCGAACATGTAGGAAAGAAAGGCTCTATCGTGTACTGTCCAAAAGCGAGTGCCACAATTGCTAACTGTGAAGGTTTCAGAAGTATCGTAGACGTATAGGCGTACAGAAAAGCCACTGGTCCTCCGAAAGCTTCTTTGAGATAGACATACTCTGCTCCAGACTTGGTAATCATCGTGCCGAGTTCGCAGTAACACAACGCTCCAAGCATCGCAATGGCGCCGCATAATCCCCATACAACGAGGCCCATTCCAGCTGAGTTAGAGAGCGAAAATACTCCACYAGCAGAAGCAAAGATTCCACTCCCTATCATTGTACCAACGATTAAAGATATTCCACTAACTATCCCAAGTTCTGGTTTTAAAGAAGATGGSGATTTACCAGTGGATTCAATTGTAAAATCGCCCATCTTTGCTTGCTCTTCCTTCCCATTGATATCGTCAGTGATACGCCGGACAACTTGTGGAGTGTCAATTGCAAAAGCTGGATTTTCCATGATATTTTCGTCCTTTCTAATTTTTAATCTTCTGTTCGTGTATTCCAAGAGAATTCTAAGGGACCGTTGTTTGATGATCTCTACACATCTATTTCGACATCTCACTCAGGCCCGTCGACACGTGAACGTATAAAGCAAGTGTTTGAAAACGTTATCATGTTTTACTATGATCAGATTACATTGTGTGCGTACGGGTCATGTCGATCAACGTTATTCAGTTAAAGGTTAGTCAAATCGTAATGCCGGCGAAGCTGCATTTAACACAACAAGAACAGCATTCTATATCCAATGTTTTAACCAACTACAGCGCATGTCAGGCTAAACTACATGAGAATCTTCAGCGCGGTTCACTACGTTTTCAGTACTGAAAACATAGTAATCCAGACGCTAAAAAACGGTCCAAGACTCATTCCCATTCAATACTCTCCTTAAAAAAATAGTATTCTGGAAAGGCCCATGCACCAATCTAAATGCAGAGTTTCAAATACGAGTTAATTTGAATTAAATTGGTGGAATTAAAAGATTAGATTATTGACAAATCCCAGTGGTTGCATTTCATTTACTTATTTGTGAATGACTACCCAACCATATTTCGAATCTCATAGATTTGCGAGAAAACGTGTGGCTGAAGGGAAATTTGGAAATTTAGTAATTCGAAGTCTAGAAAAAAAATTCATCTTATCTGACATTCTGAACTCAATTTTATAGAAATCAGTGGTGGCTCCAGTTCAGCTTTTTTCGGTGAGTTTTACAAATTGTTTTATCTGGTAAATGTAGAAAGGAAGTTGATTTTGTTAACTGGACAAGTCTCTTTGGATTGATAGCTTTTCTTCTTTGCTCTAACGTTTATTACGAGTACAAACAAAGGATTATGAGGAATTATCATTTCAAAACACTTCAGTATGGCCAGTGTTTGATAGGCTGAAATGCGTCTATTACTGCATGGAAATAATAGAAAATGAGTTCAAGTTCTCGTCGATTTTTGAGTTATTTCTAAATTAAAAAATGCATAAGAATTTTAGTATAATTTTCAGTGTTATTCTTTTAATGAGTATTCAGCTATTTACATAACGCAGTTGTGACGATGTTTCTTTGTAATGATGTTGATACTGTATTTATAAAAAGAAATTGCTGCCGCCGCGCATCTAAACTAGATGCTGTTGTTCCATTTCTTATTTCCCGTTCCACCCCCTCATTCAACTCTCTCTCTCTCTCAATTTCCAATGGCCAAGCGTTTTTTTTACAGTGTCAAGTTCATAATTGTCGTGTAACAGCAATTGCTTTACAGGATTCTTTTATATGGCACTTGAACTGCTTTACCCAAATTACAGATTTTGGTATGTGTATATTTTGATAAAAGTGCTTAAATTTATACGGTTACATTTCCGTGATTTTAATAAACGTTTGTGAGTCTTAATATTCGCAGGTACCGCGTGATATTTGCGACACGGTTGGAAACTATATATTTTTCTCCGTTAGACGCAAAAATTGTAATTAAAGCTGCGAGGATAACCCTAAGCCTAATAGAAAGTTTCCCTAAAGGCTGATTTACACGGTACGATTTGTCGCGCGCGACTTGTAGTATACGATTTTCCTACTACAAGTCGTAGGATTTTAAGCAGTGGTTCAAAAACCTACTAGTCGTAGGTTGCGTGCGACTGTTGTAGACAAGTCGTAGGGGCATTTACACTGCGCGATTCAAGTCGTATACTACAAGTCGCACGAGACAATCGTGCCGTGTAAATCAGCCTTAAGACCTTCTGACGGGTGAAACATCCACAATGTTCGCTACATGCGCCTGGTAAGACGTATGAAAAATCGATCAACATACAGACAAGACGCCAAAACGCCGTAAATAAAAGGAAAAGATCAAGAAAATAATTTCATAAACAAAACAAGTAAGAAATAATTGAGAGTAGCGCCAGCATTTCTCACACGAATGAAGTGATATTATTTTTGCATCGTTTTGATAAATTGTGCGCGTTATCATAAATATTACCAGCAAAAATATACAATGAGTAGATTGAATATTTTGCACGGATCTTACCAATGGCAGACGCGGCCAATAATTTAGTGAGCGGAATAAACTCCGGATCCCCTCCACAGCCAGGGAAAAAAGCTTCAATAGTGTAGCTAGCAAACGTTAGTAAAATAATAGCAAGTGAAGCTGGCTTATTCACGAGTACCGTCGTCCACGAAAACAGAAATGCGGGAAGCTGTCCGTAAGCTTCGCTCAGGTACGCATGTTCAGACCCTGATCGAGGAATAGAAAGCCCGAGCTCAATGTAGCTCAAGGCGCCAAAAATCGACAATAGACCGCATAAACTCCACGCGAACATAGTCATCCCAGCAGAACCTGAATAAACCATCACCCATCTCGCAGAAGCAAATATTCCAGACCCAATCATATTGCCCACAATTAAAGATATTCCGCCAACGGGGCCTAGCGTTCTTCTCAATCCTACATTCTCCGTGCTTTCCTTGGCCATTTTCATTCAAATTTGTAGCGTGACTATTCGAGATGGTTTTCCCAGCAGTGAGTAAGACCGGCCAATTATTGAAAACATCGTGGATCATGCAACAGTTACTTAAATACACTTCATGACGTAGTGTGACGTTCTCTGAGAGGTTTGCTGAAAGAGAGCTTGGACTTTGTTCTCTTTTCTTCCAGCTTACATCAACCTCACGCTCACAACATGCAAAGTTATCGTCTCTGAACACTGGAAAAGAGCCCAGGTTTAAAGTTTAAGGGCCAATATCGTCACTTAACTGTAACCTATATATATTCAGTAGATTTTAGAATTCGTTTTCATCCACGTGTTTGACAAGTTTAGATTTTCGATTGATCTCAGTGCAAATATTTCTTCAGACTAGAGGCTGGACGAAATATTTAAATCAACTGTCGCATAATTTTGTTCTCCCAAAAGCTCCGTGGTAACTGAAGACGAACCTTTGATGACAGAGCAACCACACAACAAAATGAGTTCCTCGCAAATTCAACAGACAAGAAACAGAAAGACTGTTGTTAAAGAAATATAGGATACTTGATCGCACCAAATAAAGGATTTAGAAAATGGTTAAAATAAAGAAACAATCAGTTTTAGTTTTTATGGGAGTAAAAGCAACTAGACAAAGCAAGCCAGCTCTTTGATTCATATCGAGTGGATTTCAATCATACCTTCTATGGCCCTAAAGTCAGAAGTTCGATCTGGTTTAAGAGTTTGGTGTCTTGATGACACGTCTTAATATGTACAATTAGAGAAGATTGTTTACTTTCTTCCAGACTTTCGATAACGGATATCCTTCTGAACCGACTGAATTTTAAGTGAGATTAATATGATTGAATTCCTTGCCAAGTAGGCACGTGTTTTAGGCTTTCGGCTTTCAGTCGTCGGACGTATCGAGGAATTTAAATCCAGAGTTAATAAATCAAGGTGATATCATCACGTGGATATTCTAGGCTCACACTAGTGCCTTTATTTAGGAAGTGGGAACCTCTTAAAAGTCAGTGCTCATAGCTGTGTGCGGGTTTATGTAACTAAGACAACATTGTTCCTGAATACTCCACTTCTCGAATTGAAAGCTAAAAACCGCTGTTTTATTAGACCTTTAAAAAAAGACCTTTAAAAAACACAAAAGAAAACACGAGAAAATGTTGTAATTACAATAGCACTCATAATTTTCATTTTCCCCGCGTTGAGACCTTCTGCTGGGAATACAGGGTTAGTCTCAATTTAGAAAAAAAATGCAAATTTCAAGGCCATTATAATAACATTTTTAGAGCTTTCTTTCCAAGAGAATCTGTTCAGTCAAATAATAAAGCAGCGGTTATTTATATTCGCTTCGGATTCAAAAATGGAGTATATGGTCACTATTATGCTGCCCGCTGTAAAACGCCGAATTCGAGTCAGATATATTCTTCGGCCTATTATTTATGAACAGTTATGTCATAAATGCCTGTGATAATCAGGGGGCACTATTAACAATAATATCACTACCCTCGAGTTCCCGTAATATTAGGGAAACATTTAACCACCTTACCGATCGCTATAGCCGCAAGAAGCTTGACAATAGGTACCAGGTCCTCACGATCAGTACACGGGTAAATTGGCTCCAGTAGGTAATGGCCAAAGGTGAGTAACGTAATCGCTAGTGACGCAGGACGAGTAACGAGAACACAACCCCATGAGTACAGAAACGCAATGAGTGGACCGAACGACTCTTTGAAATAAGTGTATTCTCCACCAGACTTATTAATCGCTAACCCAAGCTCGATGTAGCCTAAAGATCCGAGGACGCTGAGGACGCCACCGAGGGACCAGACCATGAGCGTCATCCCGACTGATCCTGCGTTGATCGCTACATATTTCGGAGAGGCAAACACTCCAGAGCCTATCATGGTACCTACAATTATGGAAACTCCACCGGAGAGGCCAACTTGACGTTTTAAACCTTGAACAGACTTACGAAAGTTGTCTGCCATTTTGGATCACCTTTGCATGTATCTACAGTCAGTAAGGGTGTGGACCTATTATTGTAGCTTTGAATATCGAATGTTTGCCGATGATTACTATGGATCAAAGTGTATCAGGGAGATATCTAATCTATAAGCAGAATCTAAAACTATGAAATTGTGCAGCGTACTAAGAGCCACGTGGTATTAGAAGCTGAAAAAAAAACTCCAGTGGAATCTATAGAAGTCTTTTGTTTTTGATAATCCCCTTCATTGAAAAGCAACCGAAAATGATAAGTCTTTTCTCTCTTTAATTAGCCAATGAAAATGCATAAAAAAGAATGTTAATAAAAAATGTGATAGGTGCCGCACGTAGAATGAGGTGACAGTCAGAACATATTAACTATGGTCAGAATTCACACACAGAAATGTGGACTTCAAGCAGCTATTTCTTCAGTATTCAAAAAAGCATTGTTTGTAGACTTAAATCGGATTAATCTTTTTTGCATAAAAGTTCTATTAATTACTGATCTGATTGTTAAAATCCGGAATTGTATGAAATTAAATCGGATCAATATCCCTTGACAATACGGACAGACCGTATCATCGTGGTGGCCGAAAAATTTGGTGGTCAATCGAAGGCAAACAAAGTAAACCTTAAATAATTAATCACATCATTAGCATTGTTTAGATATAACGACTTAAGACAACAACAAATCCATACATCATATTTTTTTAATTTTCAAGTTGCCGAAAACGTCTTTACAATTGGCAGTAGCATATGATGTTGCATTCATCTTTGTTTTAAATTGAACTCCTTCCTGCGAGTTTTTTAAAGACATGCATTTTTAAGGAATGGCGACGTCGCTGTCATTATGTATAACTAATGACTGTATAACTGTTGAATACTGAAGATAGTGCATTCCAACACCGAACTGTCCTTCTATCGAGTTTTATAGGAGTTTTCATTTCATTTTAAAAATATTTCTTCTCATTAACATTATCGCTCTAACCATAAAGACCCTAAAGTTATCACTAATAAAAGTATACTTGAAGCTGAATAAACGGAGAGACTGCAACATACTTCCATTTGTTTTGAATCATAGATTAGATTTTTTTAGTTCATAGTTTGTTTGATACATATATGCAGTTTAGGTCCCCCTTAGGTATACCTATTAAAAGCGCCAGATCAATTTTTTCCTTTTTCCTTTCTAGCGTGATTTCCTTCCTTCCGACTTCATTTCTCACTCGCTCTCTTTTTCCTTTTTTTTTTTTTGTGTCTCTTCATCTCTCTGATCTTACATTTGTTGACCTTACTGATGACTAACTGTATATATTGTATTTATAAACCAACTACGCGAAGTTAATCTCAACGTTAACTGACCTAGGAAGCAGAGGTGAAATCTTTTCCGGATGTAAATCGATCGTGTAGCAACTATTGAGGTCTAAAGTCCTATCTCCATTTGTAACCATGCAACTCTCCGAAACCTCCATGGAAACCAAAACCACGATAGAAAATCGGAAGAGTTTCACGCAGTTTGTCTAGACGCTCGCTTTATGTAATGTCATTTTCCCCATTTGAGGTCTGATCGTTCCGAATAAATCTAATTCGGCCCCTCAGGCAGTTATAGTCATATAATAGAGCATGGTGGAACATTTCAGTTGCAATTGAAGGTATTATTATGTGATTATGATTTAAGTTGGAAAAGTCCTAAATTAGATTAATAACAAAAATGGACAAGTCACGCGATTGCTGTTGGAAGTCAGCAAGCACAACAGTCCATGCTTTTCAAAATGTACCCAGAGAATTTTTATGATATTTTTGTTGCTGTAGCGTGCCACATGTAATATTAAAAGGAGCAGATTTATTCAGTTATTTTGTGAAACGAAAATAAAGGGCTTGTGAGAATCCAACAAAAAATGGCCCTTTGAAGATTCAGTTAACAGCTTGTGTATTTATATTTTTTACCGTTGTTCAACAACTGTCGGCTGGACACATTTGACCCTGAAAATTGACTTCACGGCTTTGAGCGGGAAAAACAATGTTACTCTGTATTTCAGTAAATCGGCTCACAACAGTTTTTTGGCATCAATTTGCGATGTTTTAAGTAGTTGGGCATTCTAAAGAATTTAATTTTTAAAGAAATCATTAAATTCTTATCACTTCAAAATAATAAAAATCATGTTAAAAAATACATAAGATAGTAGAGCGAGCAAACATACCAGACAACCGCAGGTTAACTTAATGTCAATAAAACCAAAACTCGGAGAATCGAATGTCACACGAGGCAAAAAACAGGAAAATTTTCGATAGAAAATTTCAGGGCAAGAACAAAACTTAATTTTTTAATGTTAAAAAACAAGTTTTGGATGTAATTTAAAAGGTTCATTTTACGCGGTAATGGTCAATTCGGTGTATATATAGCTGAAATCAGCAGATCGTGGCGTAAGTGTTAACTGTTTTCCTAAAAAACGTTTCTCTGTACCAAGTTTTCAGACTTACCTATGGCTATGGACGCAATGAGTTTCACAAGAGGCTCAAACTCCTTTCTGCCACCACATCCAGGGAAAATT